GCACAGAAGTCGACGATCGATTTGACAATCACATCGCCTGACTTACGACGCTCTGTAATGGATGTTCGCGTTGAGAGCGGCGCAGAGCTGTCAACTGATCATTACCTCGTTTTTGGCATGCCATCTTGTGAAAAATGAAACGACGACCTGATGGCAGAAGCAACCAGAGAATGAAATGGGAAACATGATCTTCGGTGGATACGAGAGCGAAACTTGCAAACAACACAGCACGGTTTCAACACATCCAGTGATGATAGCAGATGTGGAAACCGAAAGGAAGCTCTTTAAGAGCGGTTTAGTACAGGCTGTTGCCGAATGGTGCGGATTTAAATGGGTTGGCCTGCCGTCTGCAGGTTAGAAAAGATCTTTAGATACGAGAGGTACAACTGGAAGTTAAAAGAAGGCAGCGTTCAAGAAATGGCTTGGTAACAATGATCCTTCAACTTGCACGCTAGAAGCGCGCAAGGTGGCAGCGAAAGCCAAAACTAGTTCCAGAGAGAAGTTCGATGAGGTATTGGAAGCGAATTTCCATAGGGAAAAGAAGTATTCTGGTCGACAATCAAAGGGCTCTGAGGTGAAGAAAAGGGCAGTCTAAGAGTCATGAAGGACACCCTCTTACCAAGGATGAGGACATATCTCAATGAAGGAACGAGCAATTCGAGGACCTCATTAACCCTGTGCAGTTGCTAAAAAATGCCTGAAGAACAGCGTGGGACGGGTGTTAGGATTTCTGTAGATGAAATCACAAACTGAGAAATGCTTGGAAAGTGGCACGGCTGTTGGAATCGATGAAATCCACTCTCAAATGCTTAAAGCACGACCGAACGGGGCATGTGCTGGCTTACACGTGTCTTTGAAATTGCAATGGCTACGTGGAGGACATTACTGGACCGGAGAATGGGGGTTGTAACACCCTGTTCAAGAAAGGTGACCACAGGGAGTGCCTCAATTATCTGCGCATTACCTTATTCAGCCTCCCGGGAAAAGTCTACGCAAAAAGGAGGCGCCGCGGAAAAACTGACTCCAAGACAGAAAAAGAGCAACGTTTTCCGGTTCGGCAGAAGCCACTCTGACAAGATATTTGTCCTCCGCCTGATTACTGAGAAATCGTGGGAGTTGGTCCATCCGGTGCATACGTGCTTTGTCGACTTAGAGAATGCCTATGATCGGATCCGACGCAACAGTCTATGGGCATGCCAGAGAACAAAAGGCATCAATGGCTAGTTGCTAAGGGCTGATGTTCATTCACTCTGATGTTCACTGCAGGTGCCGCGTCAGAGTAAATGATGACACAGTCGAGACATTTCAGGGTTTGCAATTGTTCTCGCCAAAGCTGCGT